GAAGATCCCTCCAAGCTGTGTAGACACAGTCTCAAATGTTTGGAGTGTAATGAAGTCTTCCAGGATGAGACGTCTCTGGCTACACATTTCCAGCATGCTGCAGATACAAGTGGACAAGTAGAGTATCATTTAAATTTTGGTGTTTCGGTGATGAGTCTGTAGCCTCGAGTGCTCCATCAGATACCTTGAATTTGGGGTGGCAGCACAGTTACATGGAGGGGTGTGTGTGTGTGTGTGTGTGTGTGTGTGTGTGTGTGTGTAAACACAGGGAAGGCAAAAAATTGTTTTCATAGTATAGGTGAAGTGTTGAAAAACAAGGGTAATTCTTTTAGCCAGGTAGAAAGCATTTCACTCTGGTTGAATTATGTAGGTAATTATTCAAGGCATTGGAATATCTAGTGGAAGTCTGAGATGTAGCTGTAAATTTAGAGTATTATCCCATCATATTGAGTGTTTAGTTTGGATTACATTGGCAAAGTGTGAGTTTTTACTCATGGTTTTAGATTTTTGACAATTACTGGTATGTGTAACTCTGACATGACTTACAAGCATATCTACCAGGCACCTACTTTTAGGCATGTCTACTTAGGTGCTATGGTTCAAAAGTATGTTCAGTAGTGTTCATGGCAGTGGATTTTAATTGTGAATTACAAACCATTTGGCACAGTAAACCTTTGTGTCTGCAGCTTTTTTGAGGTGAAGTACAAGGTGCTGTTGGTGAAATACATTTTATAATTTGCATCAACTCATTGTCTTTCTCATTTACTTTCTCCATGAAGCAACATTTGCCTAATACATAACTTGCATAACAAGCATTCCTAGCATGCTAAGTGAAATAATTCCCAAGTAGAGAGAACATGGTATATATGTTGTGGGGTGAGAAAAGCTGTCTGGCTCAAAAGGGGTGGGATGCGTCTCCCCCCCCACGGCGAAGTTGAGATCCTGTCTCAGGCACCTCAAAGTCATGCATTTCAAGGTCATGAACGTCCAGTAGCAGGCAGTCTTTCCTTTGTTTCCCCCAGTATTTTGTTAACTCGGAGCCATGGTCAGAAGCCTGATACTGTCTCTGTAAGTTTTCAATGTCAACTACTGACTTAAACTATTTGTAGGATTGTGAGTTTGGGAAAAGAAAGATAATCATACCTGTTTTGTTGTTTTGTATTTTCCCCTCTGTGTTTTCTGTCTAGTTGAAGTAGAAGCAATGAGTTTTGGCCATATTTTTGTAGATGTGGGTGTTTTATGTATCCCAGAAGAGGATGCGTTGCCATACCAGTTATGGCTCTCAGAGCATGACCTAGTAATGATAGTTGGGTTCTGCCCATGCACATACCCCCTTATCTTCTGACCAATTCCCCCTAAGGGCACTCTTCTTCATCATGAAAATAAAAGCCCCAAAGCCATTTCCTGAGTGGTGTGTGCTGTTGTGTGCCAGTGGACACTGGGGTGGTGGGCTGGGTCCTGGCCCAGAGTTTGCTCACCGTCATGGTTGTGGGTTCTGCTGTTGGAGCTGCCGTCAGTTATGTCATTTCTTTGGGACCTGGAATGACATGGGTAGAATAGCACCCTATGCTCCCCAGCTTTTGTCCTTAGATAAAAATTTTCAGGATTGACATTTGGGATAGGGTCAAACAGCTGTGAATCACTCTCGGCTGGGGGAAAGAGATGATTGTCTCTTGTTACATGGTCATCATTTTCTCTTATTTTGCTGGGACAAGTAAAACCTGTAGATCACATACATTACCTGGAATTCAAGGGAACGAGTCATGGCAGATGTACATTAAGTAAAACATATATACTCTTTCTCCATTTATGCCTCGGTCAACCACCCAGCTCCCCCAAGAGGTGTTTATTTAGTAAGCTTTTGCCAGCTGTGTAGCCAGCTCCTCGGGGCTGGTGTCAGCACTGCCTGTGTGTTACACTCTCCTCCTGGCACTCACTTCCTTGTCTCCCATTGCGATTGTGGTCCAGAAGACCCCGAGTACAGTCTCCAGTGATGCATGGACAGCTGGTTCACCTGCTCAGCAGCTGGGGCCTGTGCTAGCTTTGCATGGAACGGCTCTTCTCTTCTTGCATATAGTTTGAGCCACTTTAAGACTTTCGATGAAGCTGGAAAAGCACTATAGCCCTATAATGTAGTGGGAGCTTGGGTAGTTCTCCACCTTTGCTGGCACAGCAGCAGAGGGCAGGGCTGCAGTGTTTGAGAAGGGATCAGAGTTATTATCCATATTTTAGCTTGACAGCCACATGAATTTTAGTCTCAATTCAGGAAATACTTAACTATTGAAATAGAATCCACTTTGAGAATGGTACTTAAAGTTTCTTAGAAAATTTGGAGGTTGGACCAGGGTACCTCTAGTACCAAAGGCTTTTCTAAGCCTGTTTTCTGTTCTCTGCTATGTCCATGGATTCAGAACCTACTTATATTTTCCCATTAATCTCCACACTCTTGGTTACTCATTGGTGGATTGAGAAACAGGATTTCTTCACAGTTGTAAAAGCGTCCTTGTCCTCATGCCCTAACATGCCCTCTGGAGCAGGTTCCCAGTGCCATCAAAGCCTGGGCTTTCAGCTTGTGTTGGGCCCCCTGCTCTGCATGTTAGTCTTAGTTAAAGATTCTTTTCTAGGAGATTCCTGGGGTGACCCTGCTGTCTGTCAGATTCTCAAGGTTTGAAAGTTTCCTTTGAGAGCCCTCAGCAGCAGGTGACTTACACTATGGGTGTGGCCTTTCAGTTTGAGTTAGCTGGGCCCGGAGAAGGGGATGCTGCTTCATTGGTAGCAGGGTCTTATTTTATTATTTTGATGTAATTATAGATTCATGTAAGAAATATGAGACGTTCTATGCATACTCTTCATTCAGTTCTCTGATGGGAACTGCTCACAAAAACAGAACAATATCAGTCAAGACATTATCAGCATGGTCAGGCAGCACAATAATTCTACCCTCATGAAAATAGCTCCCACTGCTACCCTGCTGTGTCCCAATCCCTGGCAACTGCTACCTGTTTTGATTTCTGTAGTCTTGCCAATTCACGAACATTAAAATGAGGAAACCATGCAGTATGTGAGTGGCTTGGCCTTTTTCAGTCAGTACAGTTCCCCGTGAAATGCATCTAGGTTAGGTTGTTGCTGTTATAGTCTCAATAAACCCATCATCATAAGTTGAAAGTATAAGAAAAATGCCCAAGGCAAGACCAAATATCCTAGCTTTGAGACACAGCAAACCATGGTGTGTTAGTTATTTGCCTTTGTGATCTTGTGTCTCCATGATTGACTACCCAGCCTGTGTCCGGGGAAGGTCAGGATTCAGGGTTCCAAGTGTGCTTTTATTGGGTGTATTACTTCCCCACATTAATATTCTGTTGGATGTTATGTTTCCTGTGGTTCATCATATTTTTCATCCTTGAGTATTCCTTATATATTCAATTCATTGAGAATTTTTATTATAAAGGATATTGAATTTTCTGTTTTTCTTCTATTGAGATGAACATGGAATTATTAATTATATTATTATTATTATTATTATTATTATTATTATTATTATTATTACAAAAAATGTTGGGTTAGAGAGATGCCTTAGCAGTTAAGAGCACTTGCTGCCCTTGAATAGGACCCTGGTTTGTTTCTCACTCACACAGAGCTCACATCTCTTTATTCTAGTTCCAGAGAATCTGATGCCCTTTTCTGACCTCTGTGAGTACTGCACACATGTAGTGCTCATACATGCGTGCATGCTGAATACTCATACACATTAAAATTAAGTATTAAAAAATGTGTTTGTGCACATCAAGGGGTTGATATCTGATGTTTTCCTGTATGGCTTCGCATATACATGCATGTGTTTACCCCATGCCTGCCTGATGCCATGTGGTTGCTAGGGATTGAACCTAGGTCCGCTGCAAGAGCAGCAAGTGCTCTTAACCACTGAGCCACTTTCCAAGCCCTCCACCTTATATCTTGTTTTTGTTTTTATTTTTCTTTGAGGCAGTTCTCTGTATGTAGCTCTGCCTGTCCTGGAACTTGCTATGTAGACCATCTCGAACTCACAGAGATCTACCTGCCTCTGCCTCATGAAGGATTAAAAATACTGGGCGGTGGTGGCACAAACATTTAATCCCAGCAGAGGCAGGGCAGGCAAATCTCTGAGTTTGAGACTAGCCTGGTCTACAGACTGAGATCCAGGACAGCCAGGACTGTTAGATAGAGAAACCCTGTCTCGATAAAACAAAACAAGCAAAGACATGTGCCACATGCTGGACAACCTAAAGGTTTTTAGTTCTGTGTTTCACATTGTGTCTGATCATTTTGAGCTGTTGTATGGGCTTGACTGGGTTTCTCGGTTTCCGGCCGATGCATGTGCCCTTCTCTTGCATTACTTGTTGAAATGCTGTCTTCTGGGAACTGTGTGCACCTTTGTTCCATGTCACTGTGGGGCAGCCTCAGATGTGTGTGTTCATCCCCCACTCCATACACCCAGGCTTGAAGCTCATGATGCATACTACCACCAAGAGAGCAGACGCTGCTTTCTCAGGGTGCCAGGCTGGCCTCTAACTCAGAGTGACTCTACCTCATTGCCTTCCATGGGAATCATCTCATTTGCATCTACAAAGCAGTCTTGTCAGCCCTGTGATAGGAACTATGTGAAAGGTATAATGGGGATGAAACCCAGAGCTACAGATGTACTTGAAGTACATTCCCAGGTGAAATTTGTTATTTTAAAACAATATAATTTTGGTGTGCACAGATTCATTGATAGTATAAAGAGAAATTAATGTTGTTTATTATTGTGTATCTTGTGATTCTCTTGAACTTACTGGTTTCAGAGTTTGAGGGGTTCAGCTGCTGATTTCCCAGGTATGGGAATAGCCATGCCCCACAGAGTGGGTATACCTGGTCTGGCTGCATGACCCTTTTGCTGTAATGTGAATATTACTTTGTTGGGGTCCTCTTGCATCTATATTCATGTAGGTTTACACCCCCTCCCCACCACCCCCAATTCTTGTCTGGCTTGGGGTAGTTTGCTAATAGCTTTGTAGAGTGAAGTGAGAAGTGTTTCTTCCCCTATGTTCCATAGAAATTGGAGTTAGTATCTCTTTAACTGGAGTTAGTTCTCCAGTGAA